GCCCTTTGTGCAGCATGCCCACACTGTATATGCTCCCCACCATTAGTCATTTAGTAGCCAGTTAGGTTATCGGATCGACTGTTGTGGTATCGAAGTGACCGGGTTCAACCTGGGTTCAAGTAACCCTTATTGTTGTTGTTAATCCTCACTTGAGGATATTTTTCATTGATTTTTAGAAAGGGAGGAAGGGGAGAGAGAATGAGAATGAGAGAGAGAGAGAGAGAGAGAGAGAGAGAGAGAGAGAGAGAAACATCGATGTGAGACACATTGATTGGTTGCCTCCTCCATGAGCCCTGACCAGGGCCAGGGATGGATGCTGCAGTGCAGGTACGTGCCTGTGACAGGGAATTTGAACCCGCTACCCTTTGGTGATGATAGTAATTCGGACATGCCAAAGAGAAGCCATAAAGTGTTTCCTTTAAGAGAAAAGATACATATGGATAGTAGAAAAAAATATACATAGTGTTCCATACAATCCAGTTTCAGGTATCCACTGGGGTCTTGAAACATATCCCCCACAAATAACCGGGGACTTTATACGTGTAAGCATGGTGAATATAGCACTTGGAACACAATTCCTGGATATCTAGGCCAGCAACTAGTAATATGGCAGCTTCTGTAGCCTCTGCCGGGGTAGGAAAACTAACCCAAAGCTCTCCTATTTTCCCCTCTCTCCTTCCCTGCAGCAACACAGCAAGACCCAACAGCTTCCTGCTAGTCCATCTGTACCTAAATAGCAATACTGTTTGGACCAGTCCAATCATTACACTAACAAATATTTTAAAATATATGCCATAGAATTAGCAACAACATAAAAGTGCAACTTTAAGTGAGGGGGAAAGAAGTGGGAGAAGAAAGACCATACCAGGGCAGAATTCTTTGGGTGTATATCCTATAATCCACTGCCAGACCAAAACAAATTTTTATAGAGCAATATGACTACTCAAGTAGCCACTTTTATGACAATAAACACCCAAAACCGAAAAATCCTCTTGTAACATAATTACTGAGAATATACAGGGAAAGTAACCATTTAATCCACAGCATGTGTTCTCCACCACAGAACTGAAACGCTGACATCAGATGGGGTGTGGCTGGCCTAGGCCCTGGGAGTGAATTCTGGCCAGCTGAAGTCAGGCAGTCCTCTGGGCAGGCTTGGGATCCAGAAACCACCAAGCAGGTCTCATAGAGCCTGAGGCTGTTGACCTTCTGGGCACAGGGCAAGGCCCATGTGTTTACACGCATTTTGTTTTGGGGAGGGGTGATTGTGGTGGATGAGTTAAGGCAGTGGTTACAGGGTGTTGCCAATAATTTAATTTTAATTTTTTTTACCCTTACATTTTGTACATGCTTAAGATGGAAAACTGTGCAAAACTTGTAGACTGAAAAACAAATAAATACGAATTTTAAAATGGAAAATAAATTAACATTAGGCAAGATATAGATATTTCCACTCTACAATCATAAAGTATTTTCAAAATGTAAATGATAGAGGTAAACTACTGAAACCTATTTTAGGATTTATTAACGAAAATGAAAGTTGTTTTCTAAAACAAAAAGTTAACCATGGTGTCCATTCTAAATGAAACTGTTTTGGGATTTTTTAGCTCTTGTTCATTCATTCATTAATATGGAAGCACGAGTGGAGAAACATCTTAAAAAAATAACTTTTCAAATGAGTTTGTACCATTTCTAGCTTTGTAGAATAAACTACTTTGTATTAATACATAAATCAACTACATCTAGATTTAAGAATGTGACACTGTAACAATGTTTCTTGCACAATATAAAGAAAACAAACTGTTTGACACCCCATCTTAATGTGATTATTCTAATGTTAATTTGCATAAATATGAAACTCCACACTTACCATTTTGTACAATGGTGAAAATGTCCAGGACCTTTATATATTCACTGTTTAACAATATCACTTCACTGATAAGGTTACTCAATACTTAATCAACACTGGCTTGAGTTCAAAATGCCCTCATTATAGGCTAGAGGCCTAAGCTTAGAGACACACTTAAGTGTCTTTGCAGAGATTAAAAAAAACAACAACACAAAACCACTATATTTAAGACCAAATTACTTCATTAAGCTGATAACAGCCTGCTTCAAGATATGACATCTAAAACTCACTCTCAGTCTATTAAAGTCCATGTTTACCTTTCACAAGAGGTGGGGAAGTAATCCCTGAGGAGCATATAAATCTTTAAATGGCCAGAACACTATCGCTATTATTATATGCCTGATGTGTGCTCTTGGGAATGACCATCAAGCATCCTCGTTTGCTCTTCCCGGGGCCAGGGAGAGTGAGCACACCAGGGCTTGCAGTCCCTTCCCTGTCTGTACACACATAGGCTGCAGCTGTAGTAAACAACCACCAGCCAAGAGTTGCTAAGGTCAAGGTCTCAAATGCTATACGAGGACCAGCTTCTCCCAAATGACATTCAGTTGTTGAAAAGGAACTTTGTGGATAAAAAAATATTAAAGGCTCATAACCACAATTTTCATTCACTAAAGAGCCATACAAAGCATTCCAAAACAAAGTTTAGCTGACCGTAGTGTCTTTTAAATATGTATTAATAAATCACTGAAGCACTTCACAAATAGACAGAAACCCCTCGAGAGTGTTTTGTTTACCAGACACAGCTCTACTGGTTACACAGTTTTAGTTCATAAATTATGAAAATTTTATGGGAAAATATTCCAAATTGTTTTGTACCAGCTTAAGTATATTTCATAATAGTTAGGAATTAGAAAGTAGAACTATAGACCTCTTTCCTAAATACATTACAAATGCCTGCCAATTCTGGTACCCGCAAATTGCTCTCTCTCCAACTCGGAGCAGCTTAATATACTCTAGGTAGTCTTCAGAGAGAGCAGGCTGCAGCGATAAAGAATACCTTATGCAATTGAAATGTTTGCCCTTCAACATCCTATTTCTACTAAGCTTCTACAGTTAAACATTTTCTAGCCTAAAAGTACACCCCTTTATCATAACCAATTCCTATGTATTTTTATTTAAATGTAAAAAAAAAAAAACATTTGAATGAGGTCTGCAAATAGCACAACCAGGTTTTTTGGAGGGTGGGAGTAGGGGGTGGGAGAGGGGTACTGTTTTTATTAAATACCAGTTCCAAAGAGTATTTCTTAGAAGATGGTATACACCCACTCTTCAAAGTGACCACTCCTATCCCCATCACAAGCTGCTGCCTGTAAAAAGCCACCGAATTTATTTTAAAGCATTTACTCATCTAAACAACTCTATCCTCCAGTAAGAAAAGGGCATGGGGGCCGGCTAGGTGGCTTTGCAGAATGACGTGTATTTGATTGGCAGGTGTCTATGAAGCCACTAGATGCACATGCACTAAATGTAAATAGAGCTGCTCATCTCCCCGGTGTTACAGGGAAACTGAGAGAATACTAAAGCTGATCGAAAATAAAATATCTGAGTGCTCCAGGAGAATTCTATTAGCCAGTGGAATTGCTTAAAACAATCCATATAGAGCCATTCTTAAACCATCTGCACAGTTAAATTAGAGAGCTGACAATATTAACCACACAAACTGTTTATCCAGATTACACATTCCGTTGTACTAATACTCTTTAACTCAACACAGTCCGGCTTTTATCAACTGAATTAAGGCTATTACTATTAAAGTATGCAAAAACTGGAAGAGCAGGCTGAAGGGGGTTGGGAAGCTGCGGGGCATATAACAAAGGAATTGGTACTTTTTCCCAAGCATTTGCCTCAAATACACTTCGAAACAGAACTGTTGAGTGCACCCCACCCTTTTCCCCAAAGATAAAAGTTTCCAAAGTTCTAATAGGCAGTTCTCTACCCAACAAAAGCAGGATCGATTCTCCCGGTAGGGGAGCATCTAACAAGAACACCAACTAATGTCGCGGAGGTCAAGTCCGAGTCCTCAGAGCGAGCTTCTAAGGCAAGAAGTGGCTCGTAGGCCGGCTAGCCAGGCTTCCAGGCCAGGGTGGACGTGCAAAGTTGCCCCTTGTCAACTCGGGCCGAGTCCCCCGTAATTGAAAATAACAGCCACGGGGCAGCCCCTGGCTACTTCCATGGATGAGGCACTGTAGCAAGTGACAGTTACACATCATTACGACCAGAGACAATAATGAATGTAGCACCAGGACCACTATTCATGCCAGCAGTGTCATCTCCGCCTTAACCCCTTCCCCTCCACTCTCTCCAGCGCACACCCAGAGCCCACACAGCCCGGTGCTGCAGCTATTGGCCGAACTCGCTCTATCCTTGGGGGCAAACTACTTCCACAAGCACCCCCCCCCCCTCCCCAATTCAGCCCTGGTGTTTTATTTCTCATCTTTGGCAACTGTCAGGCAAACACAGCAACCAACAATTCCACTAGGGATAGAAAAACATTTGCTTAATTCACGTTACTTGATAAGTTCTTTTTAAAAAAGAGAAAGAAACGTATATATTGGGGAGGGCGGGGAGGGGGCTCCTTCTTTCTTCTCCACGAATACGACGGACGTTACTTGCTTTGCAATAGCATCGCCCTCCCTGGGCCCCCTCCCGCTTCCCAACACTTTCCCCCTTTAAGAACACAGACCAACCAAAATGATTTAACTTGAGCAGATGACAGAAGGAAAATAAAACATGTTAAGAGAATACGGTCTGATTTGGGATGGCAAAAAAAAAAAGAAAGAAAAAAGAAAAGAAAAAAAGAGGAGGGGGTTGTTTATTTTGATAAGAAACGGAATCGGCACAGACCTGAACAGAAGCTGCAGAGCAGGAGAAATTGTTTTCTTTCCCTCACACAGAGTCCCCCTCTCTCCCTTTCTCTCTCGCACGCGCGCGCGCACTCACACACTCACTCTCGCACACACTCGGCGGCCACCGCGCACACTCACACGCACCCTCGCACACGCACGGGCAGAGCCTCTCAGCTGCTCTCTGCAGTTCTCAGGAAATGAATGGGGGGCAACCCAGGGAACTGTTGTACTTGCAAATGACTTACCCGGATCACATGATGCGCTAAATGTAGGGTGGGCCGGTGGGTGGAGGCAGCCGAGCCGCGAGCCCGGGTCTAGCGTGGGGAGCCTCGCCAGGCCCGCATCGAATTACCCCGGGGCCCTGCCGAGGGGGTTGCAGGACGCCGTGCTCCTCCCTTGCAGCCCGCAGCTCAGGAAACCGGAGAGGTGCTGGGGGGTGGGGTGGGGCGGGGCGGGGTGAGGTTGGGGGGAGAAAACACCAAACCCCCCAAACAAAAGAGCTCTGGGTCCTCCTCCCCAGAAACAAAGCCCAGCCCCT